GTGTGTGTGTGTGTGTGTCGAATTGATTAAATGTATTGTAAATATATACCTTCCAAGCCGCTTCGAAGTTGCGACTCTTTTTCAAAAAATAATTTTTCAATGATAATTATGATTAATCGCGTAGTATAAATCGTAGCGTGATGTAATAAAATATTAATATACTGAACATATGATAATATTTAGTTGCAATGAGATAATTGTGGTACAATACGCTACAATTTACTTGTTTAATATATGGAAATAGATCGAATCGAATAAGATAATGAGTTATTTTATAACAAGTTATTTCAGTAACAAATAAACGCTATTAAAAGGCTCATATAATATGGAATGACCGGAAATAAATTCTAGTCTTTAAAGAGATAGGTATAATTTATTTAGCACTAATTAAAAAGTGAAATTTAATTAATAGAGAAAATGGAAATAAACAGAAAAAGCGGAAAAAGCCAGAGGAAAAAATAACCACTCGCCGAAGCATTTATGCGATACATCTTATTTGTACTGTTGCCGGAAAAACACCGCAGCGAGAGATGGTTTCGATATTGCGCCCAGGTTCGACAGTCTGAAAACGATCGGTTGAAAAGCCGAAGCAATCCTCAGGTCCAGATACAAGCCAAATATCTTTACAATCCCGGCAGAAACAACAACGGACGAATCGGTCGGTAGTGATCGCGGTCCGCTCTCATGAAATCGAGCTATTGCTGTGCAACCGCGTGCATTCCTTTCAAGCCGAAATGGAAACTATTTCGCGCATAGCACGAAGGAGGAAGAATACCCGTGCCGTACAATGGTCTATTTTCGCGATCGTTAAAGAGACGGAAAATTCTCAAGCTGCTTTCGATTTCTCCGACGCGCTCGGAAAAGCGGAAGAATTTATTTTCGAATCGGGACGCGGACGGAGAGGAGGGAGAGCGATATCTCGATAAATTTTCGACAAGCGGGATATATACCGACAAGGCGAATCGCGCGCATGAAACGAGTCCCCGCGCGAACGGGAGTAAAAAAAATTACCATTTTATTCAATATCGCGTGAAAAGTTGCGCGGGAGAGTCGTTCGCGAGAGCGAAGGCGCTTATCGGCGAACGACGCGCAATCGGAAAACGTTTGCTTACGCACGAACATCGCCGTATCACTTTAATGGCATTCTTAATAGCCGTAGGAGAGTTCCGAAGTTGATGCAATCTCAATTTCCCGGTTCCTGCGCCTGATATATCAGTGATTTTCCACCTTTGCGTTATCGTCTGGAAAGTTTCGCCGAGTCATGCGGCGGTTCCGGAGCGGTTGGTTTCGCCTAATAACCGTCTTTTGCCCAGCGCAAACTGGTCCGGGCGCGTGCGACTGTTCCCCTCCCTTGCCCCTCTGCATGCATCAGACCAAGGTTTTATGCAGAGTATCCCAATTAACGAACATGTCCAAGAAGGTCATGCTATATCTTTCCGTACGTATTCGACATCTTAAGTCTCTCTTTAATTGGAAATTTATTAAAATTTCCTCCAGATTGGATGGTAGCTTATTATGTTTCATTATTTATTTATCGCATAAAAAGTTTAATTTACTTTATGAATATTTAATATCATTATTTATTTACTTTTTCCTATAAAAGTTTGATTTGTTAAGTATTCAATAGATCATTTGCATCTGAGAAATTAGAAGTTCAATTAACACTTTGACAGTTTTACAATCAAGTCGTTTCAAGGTATTCGTCAAAGTATTCGTAAGTAAAAACCATTTATTCTACAATATGATAATTTCATCGGGAATATCCGTACAGAGGCTGATGTACTTATACCATGTGCATTATACCGTCACTCTTGAGCGATCAGTTGACGATCAGTACCGTTTACCGCTCAAGGCTGTCCGTGCGAGACGTAATCGCGTGCTTGATGCAATTTTCTGTCTAACGGTATGGCATGTCCATCCGAGTGTGAATACAGCTTTCAAGTAATTGCCAGCTATGAGAGAAGCGAAGCGAGATGAAACGCATTTCAGATTTGCTTCCTGCTAAATTAATTTACTTCAATATGTTGTCCGCGCAATTTGGAACTTTATCGGAACATTTGATAGTGAAAAAAAAATTATTAAATACGTTTTCTCTTTTATATTTAAGAAGTATGATACGCTGCTACGTGAATCATCGCGTATTGCAGTATTGTATAATTGTAAAATAATAATATATTTCATTGAGATGTTAATTATCCGCCAATTACCCGACACCGTCGTCGAATGAAATATATATATATATATATATATATATATATATATACGTATTTTCCATTAGCATAATAAAATCGTTATTGGATTAAATCCTCATAAAAACGTCGCGTCCATTCATCTCACCGGATCTCCGATCCGTCAACCAGATGGCGGCTTCGATTTTTGAACGACGTGGAAAAGGGAAATGACGATACGATCGACAACTTTTAATGAAGTTCAAGGATTTCCTCGATTTTTCATATATCCCTCGGAGCGCAAATACCCGTTTCACTTTGGAAAACTACATCGCTCGTTACGCCTGCCGATATGTTTGTTCGTGTGTAACGTTGATCGCCTGCAGGCTGCGGTATAGTGGCGTCTCGCATCCAACTCCCTGACGGGACAACTGATGCGTTTCCAATACGGTTGCCTAACAGCGGTCTTCAATGCCAGCGGAACGAACCCGCAGATCGCAAAGTATACCAGATAACGATTACATATCTTTTTCTTCCTTTGAAGGAAAAAAAAACCTGCCTCCCCTTTGCGCGATTTTTGGTGTATATTTTAATTACATAATAAATATTCACACATCGAAAGCGTCCTTTTACACGTTTATCTAGATATATGATGTCTCGTATGTGATTAACGCGGTATGTAATAAAAATTAATTTATTCATATCTCATTATCGTAAAATATATGTCAAGCTTATATTGCTTCAAAAGAAAGTATAATTTCCTGAATATGTGTGATATAAAAACGCTTATCTGATACAGCATATGCGGTTTTCCTGTCTACTGCATCATAATGATACGAGGGATATGAAAGAAGTTCCTGTTAGTGTCTAAATTAGTATAATTATATAACACTTCAGAACAAAATTCTAACAATTAGTAATTTTATATACTATATTTGTAGCAATACGACATTCGACAAAAACGTGTTGTGCTGATAATTTTCGGTCTTTCTGATAATAATTCTAGCTTGTTCAGCTTGAAATCTAATCATTCTCAAAAATCGTTTCACATTATAAACAGTTTTTAAACAAGTTTAACTTTTATCTTCAGCATGACATTGAAAAAATTGTTGCTGATTAGTTACCGCAATAACGATAGCTAACAATAATTCTCAGTTAGTTCAGCAGAGTTCTATAGTACAACTATTACTATATACAACTATATACAACTATTTTTAAGCAGAGTTCCGATTAAATATTTCTAATATTAGAAGCCAGCACGACACTCAAAGCAAAAATACCATTTATTTGCTGCATTATTCTTAAATATTTTTAAATAAATTTCTAATCTTAAAAGCGCAGCAACACGACACTTAGAGAAAAAGTGTCATATTGAGTAGTCATTGAATATTCTAAATATATTCTGCGAATATGACAATTTATGGCTATTCTGAGTACATTCTATGAATATACTGCGAAATACCGGATAATTGTGTCTATAAAGTTGGCACACACCTCCTTGCTGAAATTTATTGAATAATACATAGATATAAAAATATTACTATACTTATATTATATGTGTGCAGAAATAACGTAAAATCACCCGGCCTTATGTAAACAGAGTAAATTAAGACAAAAACATCGTGTGTAATGTTATGAAGAAGATTAGCATTTTGCCCTCGCAAATGCGATTAAAAAAAACGGTACTTCGTAAGAAACATCTTTACGAGACCACCGCACGCTATAACACGCTCTTTGTAATCCGGTTAACGAATAATTGAGAAAACTCTGTTTAGTAAAGGACGGCAAGTTCCGACCGCTGGGAAAACACGCTCCAAGAAGAAGAAAATTACAGGGATAAGAGGAACCGGTCTGCGCGAAACTAAGAAGGAAGGCGTTCAATTTAGATCGTAGTTTCGCACGAGTACACTTATGCAACGAGGGTAGAAAGTCAGGGGTTGCGTTACCTTGTAAGTTCCGAGATTTTCGATGACACAGGGCAGACTAACGTCCCTTCCCAGCGCCACTGTGACATTTGGTATCGGCTCGGCAAATATTGGCGGGTCGGACATGGCTGCAACACGTAAAAAAATACTGTCGGTTATACGTGTCGACGTGTAGCATAACAGTTATTAATCCTTGGGCTATCTGAGCCCGTTGTTTTTGCGTTCAAATAGTCCAGAAGTTAAACCGCAATAAGTGATGTGATTGATATATTTAACTACTGAAATTACAGTAGTTAAAATGTCAAAAATTAATAATTTTCATTGTTAGAAAATCAATCGTTTATAATTGGAAAATCAACATTTTTCATTCGTTCATTCGAGGCAGGAGATTTTGATGCAAAACTCGATATCTTATCGTATATCTTCGCAACGCGATATACAGTCGACGGTTGACGATTAACTTCTTTTTCTCTCTTTCATCGATATTTTAGAATATAAAAATGTCATTGACGGCGTCAATAAAACGATAATTGTGACTGATAAACTTCTAATGGCCGAGTAAATTGGTCGTACTTCAAACTCGCGAATTTTTCATCTTCAAACCGGTCGGACTATCCTACCAAATTGTGATCGTCGATAAAGTCCGATAAATTAACGAGAGGCGAAACTTGTGAAAGGCTATCGTATTGCATGCGAAATCTGCGACATAACGTCGATACGAATATTACATTCGAAAACTGTTTCTCGCAAGCGAAATTAAATCTCAGCATTTTTCAACCGTCACGGTTGCTGTGACACGTATTTAAAATTTGCATTATTTATTCATGAGCACCGGTGAAATTATTTTAATTACATCAACTCGTTTACATCTTTTTTTATTAGCTCAAAGTTTGATTATTTGATTTCATAATTTCCATGCAAAAGATATTTATTAACACCGAGTGAACGGATTAATTATTTGTGTTCAAACAAATAATCCGATTCTGCGGATTTTTATAGTGCAACGAATTCTGTAATCATATTAATGGACAGTAACAATGCATTTGTACGTATGAGTTATTTATGTGATACAAATGATATCTGAATGAAATGCTGTAAAAGATAATGATTCAGGTATGAATATGTGCGATACGTTTTATTAAAAGTCTATTACGTTTCGATCATCATTATACCATAACAATCATCAAAATGAAGTCGCTACACGTTACATTCATGCAAAAGATTAAAGTGAAAATAGTTAATGTTAGTTATTGTACTTACAAATAAAACATTTATTTTACGTATCGCATATATTTTGCCAAATATTGTTAAAGCTTATGCGATATTCGTGGAATATCTCGCAATGCTTAGTCCACTCGTTTGCGCGTTCGAATTTTTACGAATACACATTTGCAGTTGGGATACGCCCAATTATCATGCAGACAGGAGCATCACGGAATTCGAGTTTAAATTTATATAGCGGCGATACTTCTCGTTTAAAGCTGAACCAAAACGCATATATCGTTACAGCTGCGAGACTGAAAGTGTGCTTGTAGAATATTAAACGTACAATATTTTCATCATTATTATTCCCGTTGTGCCAACGCAAATTGGAATATTCAACCGATGCCGCCGAATAATCTCTCATATTCTTTCGCACTTTGCGTACAACCGCAAAAACCGCAAGGTATTTGTGTTTAAACAATGCAGGGGTGTGCGCATCATGCGCCAAAATTTAAATAGCGTCGCACAAATCGTTTGACGAGCAGCGGAAAAATTTACCAACCAGTTGACAAACGATCCTGACTTTCGTTTTAATAAACGCGTCAACCGTTTTGTATATATTCGTCAAAGAACGTTTCGTTAAGCTTGTGAATACGTGAAACCACGCAAGATTTTTATCACATCATTGTATAAAATATTTCGACGAATATATACATCGACAATCTTAAGTTTTGAAACAATTTTTATGCGCTAGTATTTATATGCATTATACATAAATCTTTTTAAGAATAGTATATTTAGTAATCATCTTTTATCTCATCTTTTCTCTCTCAATAAATGTTAAATATAATATTATGATATGCACATCTCAATGAAATATTTTTGAAGTAAACTAACATAATAAACAAAACAGAAAGAGATAACAGAAGCTATCGATATCATGGTGAAACGCTCACAATATCCTCTTTGACGTTGTGAAAGAAACACACGTCCAGTGTCGGCGTGGAGAAAATCGGAGGTGCTGAAAAGAAGACGAAGGTGGTGGGTACACCGGGACGTCCGTGTCGAATGACGACTCTTCTGAGGAACTTTTGGAGCTGGTGCACTCGAGAGTGAAGTAGGAGGGTAGTTGGCTGGCTGCTCGACCGGAAGAGGGCAGCCGTCAATTCCGGTCGAAGACTTCGCACTGGACCGGAAGTCCGTTCACACGAACGCGACGTGCGACGTTTCGGCGAAAATCCGACAATCCTAACACTCCGAGTTTCGATACCGCGCTCACCGTCACCGTTTCTTAAAAAGAGTCAGTCACGATAAACGTTCAACTTCAAATCCGGATTCTCGATCCCGTTTCTTTTCCTGTAGAATATTCTTTTATTAATCTGGAAATTATTCTTTTATTTATTCACAACTATTTATGAGTATTTATGAGTATTTTAAAGTCTTTATTCAGATCCTGATAAAAAAATATTATTGATAATTCGATATCTCAACAGTATTAACTCGCTAATATTATACTATTTATATAGTATTTATATATCATTATTTATAGAACTACATTATTACAATGAGCTAATTATGTCTTAGGAAATGAAACATTTTTTACGAAAAAATTGAATATTTTTCATTGAAAGAACCACCATAATAGTTAATAGTTTTTTAATTTTTTTATATATAAATATATGCATTTTATATTAAAATTTTTATTTCTCAATATATAAAGGATAAAATAAAAACGCAACTAAAAAATATTTAAAAAATAGAAAAGCAATCAAGTTGCGAAAAGTCATTGTTTCTTCATTACAATTTTCTGAAATATATAATAAAATTATTACAATGTCGCGGAAAACATAGGAATTATTTCAATATAAACACAATTTTCAGAAACTGCGCATCTCCAGTAGCAAGATACATTGATGATTAGTTTCACGGTAACCAGAGAGAATTCCTCGGAGAACTTCCGGATAGGACTACAACAAGGTCGACTTCCAAATTCAAATTATTATTTAGTCGAGAAAGACAAATTACCTCGACCTTTCTGGTGCTGACTATTATAGTGAATATTATACTGTGCTGGAGTTAGGAGACGTGAAACCAATTAAAATTATCAATTAAATTACCAATTAAAAAGCTAACGTTGTGTGAATGCTCGTGTGGGATTTTGAATCTAAAATGAATTGAAAATTCTGTTGAAAAATTATATACTTAAATAAAAGGATTCTCTCCAATTTTTTTATAATAAACAGCATTTTATAATAAAATAGTTTTGTGATTCTGAATAAATATTTATTGATACATAAATATTATATGTAAATAATATGTAACGTACTCATTTTAATAAATATATATTGAATTGTAGTTTATATTAACAAATTAAAAGCGTTTATTCTTTAATTATTACAATGAATTCTATGAACAATAAACTCTAGGAATCTAGTTACTAGACATATTTTTACTTTCATTTCTATTTACTGTATATAATATTCAATTACATATAATATTTCAACTAATAATTTAGTATTTAAATGTCAAAAATTTATTTTGTTATTTGAATTAATAAATTTTTTTATTTAAATACGCTTTTGATGAGTTATTCATATATTTATTCGTTTTCTCTTTTTAACTTCTTTGTAAATCACAATATCTAAAAAAAAACATGTAACGTTTTACTTTGTTTTATTTAGCACGTTATATGAAACATGGTCACTCGATCGAATAATATTATAGAAACCTTGAAGCTAAAATTATTGAATAACATGAAACTCGAACTTGAATTACGAAGCCGTTCTACTTTTCTCAAGAAAGATCTCTTAATCAAAATTATTTTTAGAATCTGCACTGCATAAATTTCAATGATGCATTAATAGAATCTGTATATTTCCAATACAAATATAGCGACTACTTGTAAAATTCAAATTCAAATTTGGAGAAGTTTAGGAATTTTTTTCAAAAATACTGCAGTATTTTTCGCATACACTGACTTGAACAAATTAAGTAAATTCATTAAGGTTTACAGAGATAAACTATCAAAAAGTTTATTTCATAATGGTGTATAAAATTAACTGTAATAATTGTAATGAATGTGGGTCAAATGAACAGATTATTAAAAATTAAGATAGTAAGTAAGCACAAGGATTTATATTAATCGAAATATCACCCAAAAGTCATTATTGAACATTAATTGAGAATTACACGATTTCGATTGTAATGAAGTAGAAGTTTTGAATGAAGAAAAATATCTAAATAAAAGGCTTATATCCGAAATGATACATATTTATAAATAAAAACGGTTTCTTAACTTACAAACGGATATTGCTTTCCTTGACCTCACAAGACTATTTTAGGAAAGTAATGTTTTCCATTTCTGGTTGAGATTATTTTGTCTTTATTAATTGGCGCACATCTTACTGTATTGCATCATTCGAAATGAATCTTAATTTATAAAGAGATTTCGTGCTACATAGTTGTAAGTTTAATTTTATGTTTTAATTGTCTTTGTAATTTAGATTTTAAGTTCCTCTTGATCTTATAGAATTACACCGGAAAAAATTTTTCATTTCTTCTGACACGACAACACAATTTTATCTTCTGACATTTCAATATAAACTTAGACTCATCTTGCTAAGGAACATTTAAGTCTACGCTTTCTTAGCGACATGTAGTTTTTCCGGTTAATCAAATCTTATGAATTTGTATTTAATGTGTAACAACTTTTTAATGTTAACAATTTATGATAAATAGTATTAAATCCTCGTTTTTTGTACTGAAGCTTGTTTAATAACCGAGACGAAATTACAATTGTTACATTATTCTTGATTTATTAAAAATATATTAATCATACATCAACAGCTTGTGTCGGCTCTATATAGGCATTCCCTAATTCGATTCAAATTCCAGTTATGTATTTCCAAAAAAAGAGCACTTCAATTAAGTATCATCAATAATTTTAGTTTTTAGAGTGATGTATTTAGATATTTGTGTACTAGTGGAAACTCATGATATGCATGGAAATTGAATCACAAATAAGATTGTATCAGCATACTGTAATAGCACACATGAAAAGTGAATTATGATTCTATTATTTATATCCACTCGAGTATTATGCATTTCAGGCTGCATCCCGAAACGCATTGTAGGAACCTAAATATTTATTCAATTAATCCAGTAATTAATTAAATGTTATTAGTTTAATTTGCAAATGCATTCATATTTATCCTACAATAAGACTAAAATAAAAATTATTTTTTCACATTGCACATCCAACTGCAAGTTGCGTATAATTTGCATCTCATGCAAATCTAATTGTTAATTAGTGATTAAAAATATTCTCATGGTTTTGACGGATTTTATACTAAGTTAATAAATTACCATCTCAATATATATCAGAAGAAAAATAGATATTAATATATAATAGATTTTTAATAGATAATTTAAAATTTATATATAATTCATTTATAATAGATTTTTAATAAGTAATTTATAATAGATTTTAATATTACAATATGTTTTGCACCAAATTAAAAAAAACCACTCAATAATAAATAGTTTTAGTCACCAATGTGATTTATTATACTGTGATTATACATGTAAAATGCATGATTACAACATATAATTTTTACATATACGATAATGTTTCAGCGATAAAGAATATTTAATTCTTTGTTAAAGAATATTTGAATAGTGTATATCTAATCCCGCGCACTTATCGATTCTTTGCGTAGAAACTCACGATCTATCGATTGTGAATATATTTCTCAAACAAAGCATAAATTGCATTACTTTCAAAAATTTTTGCGATAAAAACATGAATTGATTATTCTGTATTATCTAAATAATAATTTTTAAGTGCACGATAAATTGCATTTAATATTTCGATATATTTTCGACGCTAATTTTCAAAGCTTTGAAGATATATATTTCATCATTTTGTAGATATGTAACAATATGTTTCGACCGAATTATTTCGCACGTGCACATAATTTACAAATGGGAAATTAATATCAAGATATAGATTTTTTAAACTTTTTCATTTGTTTTATATCTAATTTCGCCGATTATTAACACGATCTAAAAATTCATACGTTCAAAAATTGTCACGGTACAATCTTCGATAATTTTTATCGCCAATTATTTGCACGTCTGTACGTCTTTACATTAGTTATCTCGATATATTCAAGCATGAAAATCATCATTGTTCGTCCGTCAGGTGCAACGTTATAAAATACCTGGGGGCACCCGCTCGAGTCGTGGCAGTCCCACTTTAATTAGTCGCACATTTCTTCACGCGCAATTTTCATTTGAAACGGAACGTCGTACTCTACGAAGCGTTTTACTTTTCCGTTACCGCGACCGGTCTGAGTTAGGTGGGATATGTTATAGGATATCTATGCTCTGTTTAGCCAGTCGAGTTGCAACTTTCAAAACGGCAAGTCGCGGTGCAGTGGCGACCGTCGCGACTATACGTCTCGGCGAAATACGCGAAATGTTGCTCGGCGTGATGCGATTCGAAATGTAATTCCGATGTAATTCCGCAGTAACGCGCGATCGCCCGCAGAAGTGCGCTTTGCACCACAGTGAAGCCTCATCAAGGATATGGCAACGAAAAATAGTTCGGTTGCCTATATCCATGACGCGAATCGATTGAAATTAATGCCGTGGGGAAGCTCGGCATGCAAGGTACAAATTGCACCGAATCGAAAATTCAACGCGTATCATCTATAAAATACACGTGTGCAAGTTCGACGGTGTTTTATGCGAAAGTTAGTACAATAGCGACGAGATTATGCAACCGATGACTTGTCAACCTTCGGCGCTCCATTTAAGCACTTTCGATTATCGTACGTCATGTCGCGCACCGGATATTACCGCGCGCGAAAGAAAGTTACGGTAATGTCAATTATTGATTAATTACGTGTACTGAACTTGTACAAAACGACGATGTAATTTATCAATGTTAACGCCGCACTTACGGACTGGCGGAACCTACTACAGGAACCGTGACCTCGAATCGTTGGCACGGAACTTGCTGCATTCGTGACGTAATGTCTATGAAAAAATGTTGGCGATGGTTCAGCCAGCAAACTCAATCGATCAAATATAATAGAAAAATTTAATTTATTGCATTATGAATGAAATAAAGAAAATGTATAAAAAACTTACTTTACTAAACTCATTTATTTTCGATTGCCTTTGAAAGACGCGCTGTCAATACTATTAAGTCATTTTTAGTCAGCTTATGAAATATGAAATAAGAATAGACGATAGAGAGCGTGCTGATAGCGAGCGCAACTTTAACCTCAAAGAACATACAGAAATGTAAATATTCTTGGAGTAATATTATTTAAAAAATTTTTGTGCTTATCGTTCTCGATGACATAATTGTCATTAAAATAAATGTAATTGAAAAAATTTAATAATTGCGATTATATCAAAACAGAAAACATAAAATCGACTATATAATAATATATAATTACACATGTGATCATAATATGAAAGACTATCCATAAAATAGTGTGTGTATATTTCCACAAATATTTGCCCATATAGCAGAAAAATAAATAAAAATATCCAAAATACAAAGATATCCTAAAGATATCACGATAACTTCAAGCTATTTTTGTGATGTATTTTTGGACATTTATGCTGTATGGGTATAATCTTTGCAGCTATTCTGGAATACATTTAAATTAATTACAATAAATCAAAATGTGAGATTTGTTCTACTTTTAATTCTACCTCTGACAAATAACTTTATTTGCGCATCTGACAAATAAATAGGACGTAGTGTAAAATTAACTATTCTCTGTGTTCATCATCCTAACTGCCTTCCGGCTTGTTGCAATCCTCATTATTGTCAATTAGGATTAAACATTTCAGTTATATATTTGCCTACAATATTAATTCACTTACTGCGTATTGAATATTACATATTTGATCGGTACGTCTATATAAATACTAATAAATTTTATATAAAGTAAACATCCATTACGTACAAAAGACAAAAGCAGCTAATAAACAAAATTGTTAACTAATTTCTATATTAAAAATCACCTAACATTTTCTATATCGTGCACATTCCTGCACAATATCGTCTCCGTATCGCTACACGCATTCAACAATTCTTGGTTGTTTTTATCCTTTTCTTTCATCCATGCTCATAGTTTCATATTAATCAATCAGTCCATTGACCTATCTTATATGTCCACTTAAAACGTTTACTTATTGCATGCAACGCAACTGCGATGAGAGATTAAAGCACGCTCTATGCTGCAGAGGAAAAGACCATTCATGTTGGATATCATAAGAGAGCAATTTTTAATCAAACGAAACCTCGTGTTCACGTCCCTCCCGTCCTGATACCTGCCTACGGACAAAGTGAGCGGATAGAACATCTATCCTAAAAGAACATCAAACGTTTACGATCTTTTGAAAGAACTCGATTATTCATCCATGAAAATTTCTCCTGTTTCATCGAGCGCTTTCATCCCAAGAGTCGTAGCGAATTAATCGCCCGTCCTCTCGCACTAGTTGCATCTGATATCTTCTTGGAGCTTAGAATATCGTCGAATATTCATATTTTTATTCTATTGTTCATACAGCGGTACATTGAATTACATATTTATAATATTTTATTATTTAAATGATTAAACTAAAGTCTGAAAAATTTTTATTTTAATCTTGACACGAGATTAAAGGTTTTACGTAAATGTTTTACTGTTAACAACAAATCTGACTTTTAGATCGATGTGTAATGTCAAAATTTTAAAAATTATGAGTTAAATAAATTTATGAAATAATGTAACCCATTAAGTTAATATAAATAGATTTTTTTTTTCATACAGGTATTATGCAAGGAGAATCCTCTCGGACTTTGATGCAATCATATCAAAAATATTAATTGGAGATAAGGTTTGATCCTCTTGCGTACACAAAGTGATGCAATTTATTATAAGCAGAAAATACAAATGTTTCTCTAGAATCGTGATACATTGGAGAATCTGCAATAAGTTTCAATGAGAAGAGAGAGAATCCTTATTTAATTAAATGTAGAAGAGTATCTGTATAAGAGTATGACATTTCGATGCAAGGCATTTGAGCATAAGCAAATAGAAGTACAAGAATTCAAAATGGTCAATTAATTGTCTAGTTTGTGAACTTTCATTCACACACATTGTATTTATTAAAATTAATTAACTTTAAAAATTTTACTGGATTATCGGATAGTCCATAGATTTGTAATGCAAGGTTGCAATCGTGACATAACGTTGTAGCAGAATCAAACGCAAGCGAGATTAAGATAATCTCGCATATATATATATATATATATATATATATATATATATATATATATATATTAAAACATGCCTTATACTATATCTATGCCTTATAACATATTAGTAACTAGTTCACTCCGAGAGTTTAGTAGATACTAAACCTATTAAAAAAAGTGATTTAAAAAAGTTTTGCAACTACTTTTACAACTCTGGTTTTCCCTTCTGCATGAAGAACTGCACATATCATCAAACTACATCCACGTCACTACAAAAAAAATCTCTTCTGTGTGATAAGCCGATTTTTCTTCATTACGCTCAAGTCTTGAAACTCATACATATACGTAAGATAAATAATAAATGATAATTTTGTAACATTTTTTTAAACATTTATATTCAAATAAATGCAACAAATTATGTTAAGACATTTACAAAAACTTTACACCTACTGACAGGATGACTTTAAGATAAATTCATGGATAATATCGTATTGAATACGGAAATATTACCTAATGCTACAAAAAATAGCAAATTATCTGAAGAGCATGATTAAAATAATGAACAAGAAATCATGTGTCTTCATAAGTCTAATTGCGGCAACGATCTTGACAATCAGTCTCTACTTCTCGGTCATTTATAGCGATTTTAACATTCACAACATATTTCTCAAGATTGTTCTTGAAGAGAACTACCTTGTAGATAAAATTTTCAGAGCAAAGACATACAGAGAAAACGGCATAAAAACTATCCTTCTATGGAATTCAATGTTCGGTAGGAAAGATTTTTATTTCGGAAAAGGCGACATTTTCCGCGACTGTCCTTGCAATAAGTGCAAAGTCTTCAGCGATCGAGACTACTTGAATGTGGAAGATTACGACGCGATTCTTTTTCACGGTAATGAGATGAGTGAATATGAAGTGCCTCAGAAGAGGAAGGTGACGCAATTTTATGTATACGTTAATCTTGAAAGTCCAGCCAATCGAAAAGTCTCTCAAAAATACCGCATGAACTACTTCAATCTTACGATGACGTATCGTCTTGATAGTGACATACCGTGGACTTATAGTGTTGTAGAAGATATAAAAAGTGGCAACGTCGTCGCACCTTCAACGAATGCTGATTGGAGTGCTTTCTACAGTAACACAAGTAATACATACAGTCTCTTCTTTCTTCAATTTTATAACTATTTTATTAATAAAAATATCTAAATTAAACATTATTTAAACATTATTTATTCAACATATAAAAAAAATATTATATTTTACATTATAAAATGGCATAGCTTTAAAGCCATGAATTTGAAAACACTTTTGAAAAATAAAGCTCAAAATATTTATCTTTTACATGTTTTTATATCTTCCATTATTTTGTAAAATATAATTAAATTTTCTGTTATAAAACACATTTTTTAACAATGCCTAAATCCACGAATATTCCAAAAACAAATTTTCGGATGGTGTATCGTCTCATTATATAAATTATCACAAGTTTGAGAAAACTAAGTTATCGCAGGTGTAGGAGATGCGATAGACGAAGTGCCATCTGCGATATCGGACACTGTCAGGAGTAAAAGCAAGCCGATAATTTGGTTTGTAAGCAACTGCTATGACAAAAGTGGCCGGCTGAAATATGTGAAGGAGCTATCGAAGCACATAAGCGTCGATATTTATGGCAGTTGTGGCAATCTCAGCTGCAAGAGAGACCGGGATTGTTTTAGCAATGTAGCCGAGCCCAACTACTTTTTCTACCTGTCCTTCGAGAATTCCTTCTGCAACGATTACGTGACGGAGAAGCTGACGAATCCACTCAGGTAATAACACAGTTTCAAATAGCGGAAGATCGTTGTCCGCAATCAGCGTACGAAAACAAACACAATCTAATTATAATATCTATGAAGTGTTTTCCTTGATAATATGCGAGTCATCCTTATAAATATCATATATTATATTCAGGTCAAAATGTAAAGTAAACGAAAAATATTTTCTCAATTTTTCTTCTTGTAGCCTATAATTCTATGCCAATTATTTAAATGTTCTTTTGCATATAAATGAAAATATAAAAAAAATTTTAGCTTAAAAGTTTTTAATAACAAATTATTTCTACTGTCTTTTTCTGAATTATTATTATTTTTCAAGCCACTATTTATAAAACAAGCATATTGCCAACATTCTTCCTGAAGGAAAAATTGCTATAATAATTTAATACTTGGACAATATTTGTAAAGGTTTATTTTCCAATCATCGTATTATTCATATGCAATCAAGTATAGAACCTATTCAAATGTGCGCGACTGACTGCTGCGTTACACATTGACGTTTAATGTAAATGCAATGAGCATAAAGTTGATATCAAAATTCCGCGATTGTCTGGAACTGAAATATTATCGGCGCGGTGATAGAATCGATATAGCAACACGTCAATAATTGAATCAAATTTATTGCTATTTGCGGATTGTTGCAAAGTACAAATGGTAACGATAACGCCACACACAGCGTTTCTTTCCCATTTTTATTCACACGAGTTGCTCGACAGAGCACAATGGGGACAATGGTCTGGTGATCGTTAAATATGTCCGTTTATCATTCGATATATATATGAATAATCCAATTTTACGGGCATATATCCAATATCTGATGACAGATATATTTTGATATGGACTACATATCAAAAGACATGTGTCATTGTATAATTTATGCGATATGCGTGTAGTCAAGAGCGCATACTTATTAAATATACAATCAAAGCCGAAAAAGCAAGCGTATTAAATTTCAAAACAGTGTTCCTTGTCATAACTGTCAAGCTATTATTATTATTGCTATTTAATGTGGAAAACTGACTGTGTCGTTATGTAACTGTGTTTATTTTAATTTTGCTTGATTCATCGTATTTTTTTCCTACGTGGTACGTGGCTGTGCAGGTTGAATGAGGAAAACTCCAAGGAAATTCTTTATCAGCCAATAATAAGATTTCCTTATCGATATTTTTGCAGATATAATATCGTCCCGGTGGTTTACGGAGATGCCAACTACAGTCAGTTCGCACCGCCGAATTCCTATGTGAATGCCTTGGACTTCGAGAGTCCGAAGGAGCTCGCCACGTACTTGAAATATCTCTCTCAGGATCTGCAGCGATACCAGAGCTTTCTACAATGGAAGAAATATTATCGAGTCAATGATGGCACGAAGCGGGCCGTTTGTACTCTCTGCGAAGTGCTGCATAAGCAGAAAAAGCCAAAAATATACTCAAATCTATCGGAATGGTACACTAAGGATCAATGCCCTGTACAAACTCTTTTAGACAATGGCGTATATACATACATAGCAACGAAACATAACCTAATGAATGGTGAATAAAAGCAAAAACTTGTATGTACAATCGGAACACAGAAATAGTAATAATGTACTGAAATTCAAGATATCCAAAAAGAAGCATTTAGAAGAGGGAAGACTTTTTTGGAAAAGAACAAAGCTAGAACATCAGGCCTATTTAAATATGTATACTACATATTTTCATATTTTTTATTTGTTATTTTAGCTTTAACGTTTTTGTATTATTGATCAGAATCCGATGGTAATAGAAATATCAAAATACAATTATCAAATCCATCTTCTTTCCTAATTAATTGTGAATATAGTACATCAGTATTATTAGGTGTAATCCATCTTAATTGTGGAAACTTTGATTTAGGTATATAAGTAAACTTATATGTATCCATAACAAGATGTCCCTTCGTTATCTATTATTCAATTATGTGTATTGAACATTTCTATGTCTACAACGAAATGAACGACGAGGCAACTTCGACATTTGACTTATACGTTGATGATGGCTTATTAGACCAAGAATATGTAGTATATCGATATATTCACTGCTCGCTTGATTAATCTAGATCAAAGCAGTCAAGCTCCATCGCCCTAACAGTGCTATGCTGCAACAGTTCGAGGAAGGCAGATGTGCGATTTACTCTGATCGCTTCACATAAAGGAAAGCAGCTTTCGAAAGTTGCATGTTAACGATCTTTCAATTATATTTAATAGACTGAACAAACATAAAGCACATATTTGTATAAAAGACTGACGTTGGACCTAATGTATTATCAGGTAAACTCTATTCGCCAGAAACGTTTGTATTTTTTTCAATATTTCTTTTTAATGTCATTTCTACATAATTAAATAATAAATATAGGGAATATTTAAAGAATAATCTTTGCCCTCTTAAATGATAAACAGTTTTAAACGTTATAGCAAATTAATATAACAATTTATTTAATAATAATGCGTTCTTTAATTTAACTGTTTAATTTAATTTTTATCCATTTTCATTTAATTATATTAAAAATATTTTATTTTTTAATTATATTAAAAATATTTGCAATAAGTGTATGTGGAACAATGCAAGTTTAACAATAAAAAACCATTTTGTGTTCAAATATTTACGTACATATAAATAAAACCAAATAAACATTGGCATAATCGATAGCAGCTGCTAATTCATTTAACAATAGTTAACCAATAATAATTACTAATAATGTACATTATCACAATTATAGGCACGTGCGTACTTAACGAAATTTGTTATATATATTTTGCATGTTTTGCACAGTTTTGTATAAATATACTCTTTGTAATGCTTTTCTATATTATTTCAGTCAATTTAAATTATATATCTTAAAAATTAACAAACCGAGGCTATTAATTTAAATGCAAAAGAATACCTTCTTCCAATTTATAAATGTTAAGAAATAAGATAAAAATAAATGTAATGTAAAAGATTAATAAATTTTGTACAACAATTAGAGCTTATATTTTTATAAAAAAGTTATTTTATTTTAAAAACTTACTCATTTTATAAACATTCTGAAAGATATGTCAAACTGTGCAAAACATGATCATATTTGTAATATAAATAATGTGATTACTTCATAATTGTTAATTTTTGCGAATGCTTAAGTTAATTTGTGAACAATATAAATGCACATACAAATGATATGGAAAATATTACTTGTAATAACGACAATCATGCGCGTTTATTATTTCGCAAATTACAGAGACTCTATGTCAATAATACTTTTTATTTTAATTAAATTGTCAAAGAAACCTTAATTTTGTACTTTGAAATATTTTGTATATTGAAAATATTATTGATGTATCTCGAATAAAAAGAGTTTCAGCGCATTTGAATTTTTTAGAAAAATATGTTTGACCAATCTCTCTCTCTCTCTAGTGTACCGACTACTCTCTCTCTCTCTCTCTCTCTCTCTCTCTCTCTCTCTCTTCACTATTGATCCACAGTCATAAATGTCTTGATTGTTTACTTGGCACTGTATGAAAGATGGTTCGCACTCGCAAAAGAAAGAGAAACTTTGCTGAGAAATAACGAGATTAAACAAGCTCACTTTTGCCGTTGCTGTTCAAGTTTCTTTCTTTATCTAATGAAGAAAGCTTCTATTCCTATTAGTTTCTGTCTACATGTATGGTGTCCAATTAAATTTCGATCTATTATATCCAATTTCATTTTTCCGTTATAGTTATCTTGACACTAAAGTTTCAACGGTATTTTGCAATCGTTATATCGCATTAAACAAAATAGCATTTGTATTGTTATTGAATTTTTGATAACAATATTTATTATAGAATTTATTATAGAATCAATTAAAGTTATCAGAAAACCTATCATATTTACAATTTAGTTTTAAAACATCACATTTCATTATTATTTAATAGAGTAACTTTTATTATTATATGAATTGAGATAATCACTTTTATGTTGTAAACTATATTTATTACAAGATTTTCTGTCCGTGTCTTTTCGATCTTCATATAAGAACACATATTATTTGACACATAAAAAGATATCAAAGTACGATCCTACGCGTTAAAGAGAGATGAAGCGAAAACTTCTCATAAAATTCTATCAGACAAGCGAATGCCTCCGGCAAGTCATCTCAGACTTATGCGGAGACTCTTAACGAAGGAAACTTTGCTTTCTTTGTACGTCTGTCTGCACGATAAGCAATCGAATTGCAATAAACCGGATCAAGATGTCGCAAGTTATCGAGATAAATATTACCAATGATAGTTGTGTTAAAGTTATGAGAATCACAGAAGTACTACGTACAAGCACGCCTCATCGCTTGCTAGACACGATTACACACCACGGCATCAGATCGCATTGTAAAAGTACTACTTGGATGCAACTTCGAGCATCGAACAACCATTTCAGTAGGTTGTAACAACCTCAAAGTCCTCCCCAAAGTTCATCGTGGCGGCAATTTCTTGTCGCAAGTATCGTAAACTCGTAGCTTCCTCTTTCCCCCTCCCCTCCCCCCCCTCTCTCTCTCTCTCTCTCTCTCTCTCTCTTCTCTCTCTTCTTCT